TCTGACGCTGCTGATGAGGTAAAATCTGTTACAAATATTTTATATATTCCTAACAACTACTATTAATCAAATATATTGCTTAAAATATAGATAGTGGATATAATCTGTAAAACACTTGTTATTAAGGAAACACCTATTCCAACCAAAGTTGCCCGACTATATTTGGTATCAGATATTCTACATAATAGTAGTGTTTTAGTGCCGAATGCCTGGAAATTTAGAACAGTGTACGTATATATATTGTATTTGAATATATTGTTTATCTTTTAGTATGTCAAAATGTTAATCACAACTAAATATTTTTTATATCTTACATTAGTTTTGAAAATAGGAAAATATTTGAACATTTGAACGAGGTATATAGATCTATTGCGGCTAGATTGAAGCAGAGACTTTTAGGGTAAGTGGCAAAATAGAAGATGAATATTTTGTTACAAAGCTTTATTATTTAATTAATAAAATTATAAAAAATATTATGATTTTCAAAATTTTACTAATAAATTCTATTTTTTGTTTTCTAAGTAACTTTGTTATACACATAAAAATACATCATATCAGTATATATATACTTTATATTTTTTAATTTTAAAAAAAAGATATTTAATTTTAGATTTTTTTATTAAAAATCTAAAATTATGTATCTTTTTTTTAGAAATTAAAAATATAAAGTATATATACTGTATACTGATATGATATATTTTTATGTATAGAACACTAAATTTAATTCAATAAAAGTTTAGGTTTAGGTTCAATGAACATGAATCTAAACTAAACTTAAACCAATTTTTGAATGTAAACAAACATGAATTTGAATATAAACTTAAATATGAACTAAACATAAATTTTTTTTTTATTAAGGTGGTTTATATTGCTAAGTGAATTTTATTAGTTTGATATATAGGTTTATATATAAGTAATTTTTTATAGTTTGTAATTATATGAAGAGTATACAACAATCCATATATATAATTTAGTCATTATCTAATTTAAGTAGTTTACCATACAGGTATTAAATCACTTATTAGTACTATATTATATTACTATATCTGTAACCTGTTTGTAAATTATTTATTTAAATATTCTGTTTAACTAACTTATACTGTTACAAACTAATATTACTATAATATCTAATTATTTAAACTATCTAGCTTGTTATAGATTTATTTATCAATTTCAGCTTAGATCTTTTTGAGTTATATTATACTCAACATATTATAAATCTCTGCAAAGTTAGTTAACCTTAAAACATACTTACTAGAATAGTTTATATCTATTTTATAAATTCATTTAACTTAGATTTTTGTAATATTTATATAATTCTAGTTTTTGCTATAGCTTTTTACAAGAATCTATATTTTCTTTTTTAGAATATTTTATAAAATAGATCTTTTTGAATTCAGTTAGCTGCTAAGCCAAGTTGGTATTGCTAATTTTCTTTATAGAATAGACTTACTCATATCTATTTTAATCTACATCTTTCTTAGCAGTATTTTTTATCAAATCAAGTATTAGCTAGTATAACTATTAAACATCATACTACTTTACCAACTCAAGATTTCTACTGTACAGGTCTTCTGCTCATAGATCTTATCAAAATTTATTTATGCAATATTATGTTATACTTCTAATATCTAGATAATATTAGTGCAATATAATTTACAAAGTTATAAACTTAGAATAGACAAAGTTTACTATAAGTTAAATACAAAGATCTGAATAATTATTCAAATTTATTAATAATAAAATTTAAACCTCAGACCTCTTGCATAGTAGTCTAACAATTTAACTACTATACTAAGATCACCAAATCTTATAAACTAAATATAAATTTAAATATAAACTAAATATGAACTTGAATATAAATTAAATATGAATTTGAATATAAACTAAATATTAATTTGAATATAAACTAAATATAAACTTAAGTATAAACTAATATTTTAGATTTAATTTAAGTTTATAAACATATTCAAGATTTATAAATCATAAGATTTTTTATTATATATGACTAATTAAAATTATAAATCTTTGTTTATACTGATTAGCTAATAAAGCAAAAAGTAAATAAATTATATATAATAATAGAGATAAGTTTTTTTTTATATATTTTTTTTTTTTTTATACTTTAGCAATCATGCCATAACTTTATTTAGAATTGTTTTTCAAATAAAAACAATATTATTTAGTAATATACTATCTAATGACTAATTTTTTAAGCTATAACTCATCTGGTTATCCTATAGATACCTATATATGATTTGCTATAGTGACCTTTGTCCTATCTTGAAACAGTTTATAATTTATAAACTACAAGTCAAAATAGGAAGAATGCCACAGCCTATTATGACTATTTTTAACTCCAACTATCTATTATTCTCTCTTTTACTTCCCTAGTTATACTATCTAATACTATTTTAAGACTAATATTACTAACTTCTGTATTCTCATCTATTCTTTTAATTGTTTTTTTCCTTGTAGATACTTTCCTCTAATTGTTCTTTTCTTTTTCTTTTCACGAATATTTTTCTTTTTTTGAGATCTTTTTTATATTTTTTTTGTTATTAGTTTTTTTTTTATTACTATACTAATTTATTTTATTTTAATTTTTTTTTGCATATATTAAGTTGTTTTTAATATCTAGTATCTTGTATTTTTTTTTTGTATTATTTTTTTGTTAGTATTATCAATTCTGATACTATTATTTGTTAGTATTACTAATTTTTAGTATTATTATATTATTTCTACTAGTATCTAATATATAGTTGCTAATACTATTATTTTAATTTTTTGTTTGTATATTGTTTATAAATATTTTTATTTTTTTATTAATTTTTAAATACTATATTAGCTAGTAGTTATAATTTTAGTATTATTATTACTATTTAGAGATATTTTAAAAATAGTTAATCTTTAAATAGATTTCAGATATAGTAACTAGTATAGAATCTTTGTATAGATTACTTAAATTAGATAATCTAAAGTTGTACATATAGCTAGTTATACTCTCATAATATATAATATTTTTTACTATCAATACTAATAAAAGTTTTAGCTAATAGTATTTGTATAAAGTAAAAAAAAAAAAATTTTATAAATTAAACATATTATAATTTCTAAAAAAAATATTTTTTTGTATATTAACTAAATATTTCTGATATTGCTCTTTAAATTAAAATATATATAAATTTAGTAAAATATTAATTCTTTAAAAATATACTTATTAATAAATTGAATATCAACTTAACTATTAAGAGTCTATTCATATTTCTATAATTTTTATACTATTATTTACTGATAATAATAATAATAATAAGATAGCTATAATATTATAGAATTTTGAATTTTATCATCTTCTTTTATGAGCTTTATAAAAGTATTTATTAAAAATTCAATATATAGTTATAAAAAAACAATTTAATATTCTTATATAATAAAAATTATTGTAATTTGATATTGTTAAGAGTTTATATAATTTTGAAGAAAATTTATTTTTTTTTAAAAAAAATCAAAGTTTAATGCAAATAAAAATAGAAAAACTACTTTCAAAGCTAACTTAGTTAAAGTAATATAAAATATTATATTTTTCATAGTATTGTTATTAAATAAACTTTGTTTATTTTCTTAAAATATTTATTATTATATTATATTTAATATTTAGATTTATATATTATATTTCTTTTGAATTCTTAATAGCTAAAATAGATTTAGATTACACTATTTGATATAGCTCAATTAGACCTTCAAAATAAGCTATAAATCATATTTGTAGCATATATAGTTCTTGAGTTACCTTAGAATTAATATTTTGAGTAATATTTACATTTGATAATATTTATTTATGTTTAATGATATTTAACTATATTTGATGATATTTAATTATGTTTAATAATATTTAGCTATGATTAATAATATTTAGCTACAATTAATAATATTTAGCTATATTTGAAACATTTAGTAATGTTTAGAAAAAGATATATAAATTCTAGCTTTTTTCTTCTTATAAAAAAGTTCTAACAGTCCTTTAGTTAGTTCTGTAGTTAGTCTATACAGTTCTTTAATAAAATACAGTACTCAATAAAGTTCAAAGTTCTCTATTAATCTCTTAATAAAGTATAACCTTAGTCTTACCTAATGCTTCTTTTAAATGAACTACTATAGTAATATGATATTCTACTTTGATACTATTAGGAGTTCCTTTTCTATATCTTATATTACTTGTAGTATATTGAGAAGGCTATACTACTTGTAACAGTATTATTTTTTTTTTTATAAACAAATATAATATGATCATATTAAATTATAAAGTTTTATAACAAGATATTTATCTTCTATTTTACTACTTACTCTAAAAGTCTCTACTTTATTTTAGCTATAATAGATATATAAATATTTAA